AAAAAAAAAAAATTCTATTAAATTTTTGTGACAGAAAAAAATGACTCCAATTAAAAAACCAGAAGCTAAAAAATCAAATTTATACTATTTATTATTTAGCAAGCGACGCCAAATATATTTATTTTTTACCTCAAGGTCAGGAGTCATCTCCTTGAATCTGATTGAAGGGAATGGGTAGTCCCAGAGATCCATGTAATGAGGCTCGCCATTCATACCGTACCCGACAATTTCACGTTTGCCGATTTTCTTAACGTACGGTGGCACAAAAGGAACCTCCTCATGATGTACGCTGGACATCATCCTCGACGGCACGACTCGGCTGTTGAGCCTCAAGCACGTCACCAAGAGCTTCCCAGCCATTGTCTGAAAAATCGATAGTTTATCAAATATAATTAATTTCATTCATTTATACACTCAATTTTTCCGATGTTGCAATTCATGTTAATTTATTAATTAAAACTCAACATAACATCTTGACCATTGCATTTATTATTAATAATTGTTATCGCGAAATTTTCTCATGCTGATTACCTAATCGATATCACAGCTACTCTAAGTGGTAATATTTGTCAATCAAAACTAGCTTCACTGATTAAAAAAATTCTCTTAATTGCCTGTCACTACAGTTGGGAGTTTTTTCTTTACTAATTAGTGTTATTTTATTAATAAAACAATAATTACCGTCTGTGATTTTTTTCCTTAAAACACAGTAGAATATGGCTACGATGAAATCTTCAAGCAGCCATTAAATAAAGGCCAGACTCGGAGACGGCAAACTTTGTAGAGGGAAGCACTTGATTATTTTACTATTATACTGAAGTTAGCTGATAGCTGTCAATTTTTTTAATTTTTATACAAATTATAATGAAAAAAAAGCTTATAAAAATTTCTATTAAAAAATTATTTATAAAAAATTGCTTTTTTAATTTTTTAAAATTTCTACATTTCAATTTTTTTTCTAATTTTTTTTTTTGCACTAATTTATTTTTTTTTTAAATTCTAAAATTTATTAAATATCTGCTATTTTAATTTTCATTAAAATAAATATTCATTTTCTGTAATTAACTCAGTTTCAACCTCAAATCATTGACACATAACAAGACAGATACATCCATAACAATCACAAGTAAGGTTAGGCTTGTAAACATAAGTAATAGAGTGAGCGCGACTACCGACTTTCGGACTTTCTGCCGCCTCGTTTCTCGTTGTCAGTGCATGAATACATTTTTTCGGCTCCCCGTCGTAAAGCGCATGCGCGACTCGACCACGGCATAAATGTCAGGCTTTCTGCAGTGAAATCGCAACAGAAACCCCGTACTTTCGACCAGCGTAGTAAGAAAACTAATTTTTCAATTCTTACGACCAAAAAACGAAAAAGCCCCAGAGCTAAAAAATTACCAAAGAAAATAAATCATATTGCAAGATCTTTTGGCATTACTAACGCGATTTCAATAATATCAATAACAATGATGATAATATGATTATAATACTAATGTTCTACAAGAAACCCATAAACTTACTTATTGACTTTGCTTTTACTGCTCATGCTGCAGTAGCGCTGAACGAAATTTTGTTGGCAACCAAAAATGGACAAGCTCATAAATAGTTGACCCAACGTTGCCGATATTGTCGTGACCCGAACAGTTGGATCGGTATTGAAGCTGCAATAGATTATCAAAATTATTAATATCATCAGGATGAGTACAGTACGAGTGTTATCCAATTGGGGAGGTAGGACATTTATATTAAATAATGTTGATTCAGCTGTAGATAAAACTATGATTTAGTGACACGTTAATTTAATGGATATAATAGAGATATTACTAACTCCAAAAAGTCAAGGCGGCCACGTGAATGAGTGACATTGAAAACGGTGCTCGGTCCTCCGACGTCAATCACACCTTGCACAATAATTACAATAGACACACCAATCATCGTCACTCCTTGAATTACGTCCGACAGAATAGCTGCTGATAATCCACCCTAGTGGTTATAAATAACTGGTTATTTATGTTCTAATCCTCATACATTCTACTTTTTTTTTTTTTTATTTTTGTTTAAATACATACTTATCTATAAGTCAATGTGATCCCAGCCAAAAAATTAAAGGAATATTCTGGTCTACAATTCTAATAAAATAGATTTTTTGACACACGTTTTCCTCGAAATCTTTTCTTTTAAAATGGTTGACATGATATCCCAAGTTCTAGTAAAGCAATTCACTTGATATTTAGTGTACTGAAAAGAAAATTAACTTGAATAAAGAGAAAAATTCTCGAACCAAAAAAATAATTTTGATGAATTATTAGGTGACTGAATAGTAATTATGGACAGTGCCTCGGATAGCTTAACCGGTAGAGACTTTGGCGCGTAATCAAATGGTCCGGATTCGAATTCCGCTCTGGGCTCTGGGTTGTCCGAATTATTTTTTCGGTTACCGAAAAATTTCCACGGAGTAAGGTCCCCCCTTTCCCTTTATCCGTTCTTTCCCCAATTCCCAGATTTTCCTTTAATGACAAATTTAGCTATGAATTATGGCTAAAACAGATAAATTATATTTTTGAGTTCGAAGAACTCAAAAACGTCATAAGTGCAATTTTAAGCGCTTATGTATGGAATTAGCGGGAAGTAGCAAGAATGGCCTTTAAGGTCAACTGTTTTCCTAATTTTTTTGATTGCACTTGAGGAAATACTTCGAATTTGAGCCTGTAGACCAGAATATCCCTTTAAGCATTGGGTTCTTCAAATATATTCGCTTCAAATTAATTGAAATAATTATTTAGAATATATTTAAACTACCAAGACAATTTATATAAAATTTCGTCTTATCAAAAATAAATAAGATTATTTAATTTACATATGCATTAATTTTACTTCAAGCTGAGAGTCTTGAAATCGCTGCCAGACATTCATAAGTCTCTGAATTGATTCGTTTATTTTCTGCTATATATATGTTTATTATCAAAGAAGAAGATTGGATCATAATTTATCATTTATAGACTGCATATCTTCATAACAAAATATTGTTTATTCTTAAGACCACTGACTTTTTTAAATTTTATCTTTCGATAGAAATATTCTAAAATATTAATTTACTTACTAGTGATGAAAAGACGACAGAGATGGTGGTCATTCCAACGATACTAGCCCAGTAAGGAAGACCGATCACGGTGTTTAGTGCAACACAAGGCGTGAAAATAACAACAGCCAGTGTCAAAAGACTTCGTAGCACGTAAGAAAAACTGGCAAGACATCGGACTAATTTTGAGTGAAATCTAGTAAATCAATAAATAAAATATATATCAATTCTAATATTTATTATTTAGAAATTATTATTCGTTTACGTGATAACTTTAACAGATTATCGAACTTTTTGGTTTCATACACGGTAAAATTTTTGCGTCATTGCATCAAAAGAATATACGTTAAATTTTTAACATTTTTTTGTGTTGCTTTACGAGAATTAACAAAAGCAAGTGTTAAATTTACACGTAAAAGTGTTAAATATTTAACTCAAATTCTTTTCGACACAATGAGGCAAAATATTTTTGTCTACACAGAAAAAAAAGTCATCTTGACTCAAGAAAATCTTTTTCTTCAAAATTTACTTCTTGTTTCAAGTTCTTGTTTATTCTTGAACTAATAATGTCATATACTTATCCCAAGTAAATCTTTCTCTTGGTTTGGAAAGTAGCGCCAACGTTGGCGACGTGATTTTTTGGAACTAAACCGAGATTTTTTTAATAAAAAATTAAATTTAAAAAAATAACCTTATGCATGATTTTTATTGTTTGTGTTTATTTAATTAGACATTTTTAATTAATTTTTAACTTGCTGATTTCCCATTATATTACTGATTTACAGTTAAGTGTGTAGTGACGAAAATATTTGTATAAGTATTCGCTCGACTCATACAAAGTACACGGTTAGAAATTTGTTGCGTTAATAACTCAATAACTATAAGTGATATCGACAATCAGAAAAAAGATCCTTAAAGAGGAGGAAATTTCTGAAAAAAAGTCTCGACTCCCGGAACTCTAGCTCCATAAACAATAATTTTTATTTAATGTTGAATATGGGTTTCCGCGCGGCTGCTGTCCTACTCGGGCCTCGATACGCCCGTGTGTACATGAAGCAAGTTCAAAAACCAAGAGAATGATTTACTTGGATTAAGAGGTTTTTTTCTTCACTTAAGTTGGTAAGCATGTTGGAACTAGGGAATATTTGCTTAAACCAAGATTGACCAAAACAAGAAAAAAATTTACTTAACTCAAGAATATATTTTATCTTCAGTTGAATATACTTGGATCAAGTAAATATTACTTGACTCAAGATGACTTTTTTTTCTGTGTAATAGTTCAGCTGTTCCATTCAAAAATACACTAAAAGTAAAATTTTTTTTGTCTGGTTTTTTTTCGGTATCATTGAATTCTTTATCACTTCAAATTAATAATCTGATGTTTTTTTTCGTGAACATATTTTTGGATGAATTCAATTTTTTATCAATTTTGAGTGTAAACTTTTTTCTGTAATGTTAGAAACGCTAAACTTTTTTAATTTAGAATTTATGATTCTTAGCAAAAAAAAAAAAATAAAAAAATTTCTCCTAAATTTAAAAAACTCTGGAATTTTACACTTTTTAATATTCAATTTTGAAATATTCAATTAATGATGAAATTCTATAATTTCGAAGTTCAAAATCAATAAAAATTCTTGATATCATAAAAAAACATTCACTTCAATATGAATGAATACATTTTTTTCAACAATTCTTGATGATAAACTTCAAAAGTTTTTTTTTTGTGATTTAAAAATATCAAATTAAAAAAAAAAAGGACAAAAGTTTCTCATACCTAAAAAATCACGTCAAATTAATTCCAAAAAAATAATTTTTATAGTAGGCGATCGAGACTATTTCAAAAAATTTTAACAATTATACATATCTTACATAAAACAAAAACAATCTTTTTTTGTCTTTATATTAAGTCCCGTTTTATCCAAATGATTTAAAAATATCAAATTAAAAAAAAAGGACAAAAGTTTCTCATACCTAAAAAATCACGTCAAATTAATTCCAAAAAAATAATTTTTATAGTAGGCGATCGAGACTATTTCAAAAAATTTTAACAATTATACATATCTTACATAAAACAAAAACAATTTTTTTTTTGTCTTATATTAAGTCCCGTTTTATCCAAAAAAACTTCAAAAAAAAAAACAATTATTATCTGAACATTATGAAAAATTTCAACTATTATAGTGACATTAAAAATTCTTACATAATTAATAATAACAATAACAATAAACAAATAAAATAAAGAGTGAATAATTTACCTCATATCTAAGTACTGATAAACAGATGTTATACCAAGACTGTAATAAACAGGAACAAAGATAAAACATACAATCGGATACGCCAGCAGCATGCCGTAGAGAGTTTCCCACATGGCGCTGCCGTGATAGTACAGTTCTGACGGATACCCAAGAAAAGACCTCACACCGAGTGTACCACGTGCTATCGATAACATCATTGCACCCATTGACACACTCCCCGTCGCAAAAACATAACTCGCTTTGGTTTCCTTTTTTTTCGCCCGAAATTTTCCCCACAGTGGCACCACAAACGATATTACGATTACTGTAATAAACACCAAGTAGTCTACTATCATCTCGGATGCTTCCATCACCATCTTGACTCCCTGCTTTCTATTTACAGTCTGGAAGGAATAAAAAAAATTCAGTTAGCGTAAAACAACTTTAATTGTAAATTATAAATTATGAGTAATGTATAATAGAATCGTACACGAAATAAAGAAGATAGAGCCGGCAATTAGAAATAATTGTCAATTATTGTTAATGGGTATATGACTTAACGCGTCAACAAGTTCTCGCTATTGATAATAAGCGGAGAGTACAAACTATAATAAGAAGACAATGTCTGTATAAACTGGATGACAATGATGTACTGAATAAGTTATATGTACAACAAGAGTGCTATTATACTGCACTATTAAAGTGACACCAGTGCTGGCTTATCTTATAACTTGTAACTTATATGTGTGTGCGTGAAGATATGTAATAAATTATGCTTGTATTGATGCGGTAAGAGAAAATTTATATAGCAGTAAAACATATAATGTACAACAATACGCATTTTGATTCGCTGATTATTAATTCCCGACACTGGATTTACTCCCCTCTATTCACGCACCAGCACTAATTATTTGCTCGTGGTGAGTAATCATAAGAGATATTACTTTTTGCTCGGTATTTACTTTTATTTAAATGCTTTTTTCATATTCGAATACAATAGCTTGATTAGTTCTCTCGTGACTCAGACATTAATCGTCAGAGTTTATATTTGATGTAATAAATGGAAATTACTTCATTGATTTAGTTGATAAGGGATTATCGCTTGCTTTTTTATTGCTATTCAAATTAGGAACTTTTTTTTTAATTTTTTCTGAACAGTCATTTGATGATATGATAAGTTAATATAGTTAGAATCTTTGAAAAATCCAAAAGTGCACGCCTTGTAATGCTCATTTGATTTTCATAAAAAGAAAATCTGCTCTGATAGGAAGGTTAATTTAAGTCAAGAAATAAAATTTTATATTATAATTTAATAATTTTTTTTTTTAATCTCAAATTAATACTGACATCAACAAAAACACAAAATTTGTGTCTTTATAAAATAATGCAAGGACTCTAGTTATGAAATAAAAAATTTAGGAGTCTGTAGTTTTTAAAAAAATTGACAAATTTTTTACTAAATTAGATGAATGATGATGTAAAGAAAATCTATGTTATTTCGCATCAAATAATGTAATTTATAATAATAATTCAAGTGATAAAGATAACGATTGAACTTCCGTAGTGATAAATTATTGCTTCGGATGTAAAATGTAAACAAACAATCGAGTTGTAAATCGTAACTTTCGATATTAAACATAAAAAAATCAAACATAACAAATAATAAATTTCCAACTCGCTGTAGAAATTAATCATTTTCAAAAAATTTAAGCTATTTTTCACTTTTCTAAAAAATTTCTAACATTTTAAAAATTAATATTGCAATAGAATAAATTTCAGAAATTCACCTCAGAAGATTAAAAAACAAATTCCAGTGTTACTAATTATTATAAATCACTCAAACATGTTAATTATTTACTAACAATAATTTAGATAACTCGAAAAAAAAACATCGCTTTTCAACATATATAAATAAGCTTGTTGACATTACGAATTAATTTATCTTTATTCTTGACATTCTTCTTCTTATTCTTCTCCGCCTCGCATCATTCAAAGGCCACGTGATTTGGCACGCGACTATCAAATAAATTCAACTCGCAGATGTGTTACTGTACTCTTCGTATATGCCTCATTTAATAACGATGTACATAGGCTACATTTATTCTATTATATTTAATATGTATTTATCTTGTACTTTGTCACATTTACAATCAATTTGATACACAAGTGCTCGATACATTGTAAATAATCCATTTTATACTTCATGAAAGGAAAAAAAATCATATTTTTAGTGACTGAATTTTTTAGAAAATAATTCTTCTGACGCTCTAAATTCAATGTCAGTAATTAGATTAATAATAATAATGATCATACACAGTAAAAAAAAATGGTGTGTGTACTTATGTACACGCGTTAGAAGTTATACTTCTTTGGCATAAAAAAAAAAATGTAAAAATGATCGAAGAAATATGTTAAAAGAAATCAAAAATGTTTTATTATAGTCAAAATTTTGCTATATTGTGTAAATATAAAATCATTAATTATCGTATGAATTAAATTCAATATTATTTTTAATTTTCTGAATAAACTATAATTTTGGAGTTGTAAAGTATCAACAGTTATTTACAATTGATAATTATAAAATATTTTAATTATTTATTTAAAATATTCGTTTTTTATATAATAGTTAATTATTCATTATTTAACCGAGTGACAATATCTTTTTAATTAATATTTTTTCAAAAATAATATTAATTACATGAATTAAACGATTTAAAAATATTGTAGTATAAAACTAGATTTTGTTTCCAAAAAAATTCTAAAAAATCACTAAAATGGTCTGTTATGTAAAAAATATTAATTTCGGGTAATTAATTAATTTTATATTTAAAATATTTAAAATGTGTTTAAGTATTTGGTCCTAGCGTGTTAGGCTAATAGACCGGGAACTTCCGAGTTTTAATTTATTGAGAATGATAGGTTTGTTTGAATAAATTGATGTAGTTGAATAATTTTAATACATATATTGTTTAAATCCAAAATTAATATCATTAGTTAATTTACAATAGTTACAATTATTACACAGTGATTGAAGTTAACTTTTCTTTCATATAACGATTTTACAATATTACCAAATTCACAAATATTAATAATTTAAAATATACCTGATAAAAAATTGATGAACCTTGTTGATTTAATTTATTTTAGTTGGTTTCACTTTACGATTTTACTTTATCTTTACAAATGTTTTACTTTTTATACAATAGATTTACACGTGGTCTAATGAGACTTATTTAAACTATGTACGATGTTAACACTAGGACGTCAGGACAACGAGAGAGATTTTTTGGTGACAATTGCGAGGTGTCGAATTTTAGGGCGTAACTAATTTCCACTCATTGGGGGAAACAAATGTCCAATTATTTGCCTATTTTCTCGGGCCCTTACCCTCTCTCTTAAATTTGTCTAAAAATGTTGTATGAGTCCCTCTACTTGGGTCTGAGTGCAACATACTTTCTCACTTACTCTTATGTTCTATTATTCATCTATGTGTTTGTGTATACGTAAGCGCATTTACGCATAGACAAAGACATACATTTGTACTGTCTACATTAATTTATTTATTAAAATCGTATGAATAAATATGCACTCGAATCTAACATTTCTTACGTTTACTTGAATTTAATTATTTATTTGTAGAAATATTTCTGTTTTGTCGTTTTATAATTTTGTTGTATTATTTTAGAATTTAATTGTTTAATATTTGTTTATTTTTAATTATTTAACTTTCAAGTTCTATTTTTTTATTTTTTATTTCTTTTTCATTTCATATTTAATTTTGTTGTCTAAAAATTATTTCGGAAAGTGCAATATTAAAATTTATTTCAATATTTTTCTCAACACTAAAATTCTGTCATTAAGTTATTCTAAAATCTTTCGGTTTAAAATAAATCTTTTATCTTATGTTCTTTATCATTACTTAAGTATTTCTTATTTTAACTATAAGTGAGTTTGCTTACGTATAACAAAACTCCCATTTATCTATTTAATCTCTTTAAAATACCTGGGCCCTCAGACTAATTACGGGAATTTCCCTGGGCCTTTTGCAAAGATCGAACGAGACACTTAATGACCACACTCGAATTATCTTTTACAATCGTTAAAATTAAAATAAAATTATACTCGATTTTTTATAATTAATAAATATGTAAAGAAAAATTTCTTTACATAACAGGTCTATAATATACATTTTAAGAAATATGGATAGAATTACTAAATTCGATTAGGGGCTGTTCATAAATTACGTAAGCACTCATTAGGGGGGGGGGGGGGTTAAGCTGAATCTCTATGCACGCTTACTTAGGGGGGGGGGGGCGGTGCTAGTAGACAAATCTTGCGTAAGCAAAATTTTTAAATTATTTCAGTAGTCGGTAACTTAAATTACTTTTCTACTAAGATTCTCGATCGATAGTTCAATTGTATCGATAATGTCACACACAGTTTTGTTTGGTTATAAGTTGTTAAAATAAGGCAGAAAGAGTCAAGCTGACATGAGTGTCAGAATCTTTTATTTTTGTTAAAAAATGCTAGTTGATGCACATAGTAAAAATTAAACTAATTGAATCCTTATTCAGTTGAAATAGTTTAAATAATCTATTTGGGGTTTGTAAGGTTGAATCTTACCCAGTTGGTGGTAATTTGAAAAATTCAACCTGGTCCGTCAAGTTTAATTAATACGTTCTTGCCTATTTTGTAATAAATAGTTTAATTTACTTTGCCTGTTCAGTCAGAACAGTTTGATATATTATTAGTAATATTCGAAGCACCTAATATTACTAATTAGCTCCAGTTCGTGTGTGAATGTTGGCAAGTTAGGCATCAGTAGTTAAAATAATTTATTTAATAGTTAATAAATAAATTATCTAACGGATAAGTAAATCATTTATTTGCAACTTGCCATTCCATCCCACTCCCAGTACGCGGTTTGTTAAAAATTGTTAAAAATTTGTTAAAAATTAAAAATATTATTTAACTTATTTAAAGCCCAAAATTGATGTATATCTTACGTAAGATTTCAGAGGGGGGTGGATGTATCAGTTCAAAATCTTACTAATGCTTATCATGGGGGGAGGGGGGTTGTAAAATGCTCCAAATTATGCTTACGTAATTTATGAACAGCCCCTATAACAAAATGACTAAGGTAGTACCTCCACGAAAAGCATATTTCAAGAAACTTATGGAATTTTTTTTATCAAAAGATAAATATATTAAGAATGGAATTTATTATGGAATTATAAATCTTATGGAATTTTAAATCTTAATTTATAATTTACGATATATAGTTTATTTTAAATCATTCTAACTCAAGGGCTCAATGTTTAAATTTAAACATTGTTGAGATTTAAACCAACTCAAGGGTTTAAATCTCAATGTTTAAATTTTATTAAACCAAATTCTATTATCTAAATCATATTAATAAAT